GAACAGCTTCTCTGCGTTCACTCAAAGGGCACTATGAGTCAGTTCTGACTCGATGGCATCCGCATCCAACAGCTCCTTCACTGGCACCTCCTGCAACTAAAATCCAACACCTAGTAGGGAGACAAGTGAGAAAACACTCTGCTGAGTCAAAAATATCAAGGTGTAAAGAAAGAACCTAGTCTGCTAGGAGAACAAACAGGTTCATCCTAGGGAGAGCCAGGTTTCTTGGAGGCAAGAATTCTGAAGCTTCATCTGACATACTCTGGACATGTTGCAAGGAGGGACCAGTCCTTGGAGAGAGATGTCATGGTAGGGAGGGTGGAGGGACAGCTCAAGGGAGGAAGACCCTCAAGGAGATGGATTGATTCAGTGACTGAGGTAATGGGGGTAGGTGTGTCAGAGACAGTTAAGACTGGCACATAGGGCTTCTGTACATAGGGTCACTCTGAGTTGCAAGCGACTAGACAACATATAACAACAACAGTCCTTGGTAGAATTTGAGCAAAAAATAAAGATACCCTGAAAAATGAGAAAAGCTATCAATAGAACTGAAGTGGTATGCTGAAGTACTGAGAAACAGAACTTGGAAGAAAATCCTGGGCAAGACTCTAATCAGATTACCTCATACTAAAAATTCTATTAAATTTTCAATAAATCATTGATAGGCAGGTGTATGGAAGACATGGATCTACTCACTTCTGACCACACTAGTCTACATGGTTGCTCCAAAGCTTGACCTCCTATAAATGTTGCAAATGTGGTGACACCAGCCAAATTCTTAAATGCTTATCTTACTAGATGTAAAGAAAAATCTTGCTAAAGATTATTTAAGACACAGCTAGAACAGTATATCAACAGAGAACTGCCAGAAATTCAAGCTGGATTTGGAAGCCACGGCACCAGGAATATCACTGCTGATATCAGACAGATCCTGGCTGAAAGCAGAGAATACCAGAAGAATGTCTATTTGTGCTTTGACTATGCAAAAAAAAAAAAAAAAAAGTTATGATCTGTGAATCACTGAGAAGAATGGGAATTCTGGAATACTTAATTATATTTATGTGAAACCTAGACCTAGACCAAGTTGCTGTTGTCTGAACAGGAGAGAAAAATAAAGCAAACAAAAAAAAAAATTAACAGAACAAGAAAACATTGCATGGTTTAAAACTGCAAAAGGTGTGCATCAGGGCTATATGCTTTCTTCATTCCTTTTCAAATTGTATGCAGAGCAAATAATTTGAGAAGCTGGACTCTATGAAGAAAACTGTGACATTAGGATAGGAGTAAGACTCATCAACAACCTGTGGTAGACAGATGATGCCACCTTTCTTGTTGAAAGTGAGGAGGATCTGAAATGCTTGCTGCAACAAATTGAAACAGTCTTCAATATGGGTTATCTTGCAACATCAAGAAAACAAAAAATCCTTACCCATAGGTCACATCATGATAAATGCAGAAGAGACAGAAATTGTAAATTATTTCACCTTGCTTGAATTCACAATCAGCATCACTGGAATAATCAGTCAAGAAATCAAGACATACTATCCAGAGAACTAAAAACTTTATGGACAACACTGGGAAAGTGCTGTCAGGGACCTATCCAAAGAGGAGCAAGGATGTCACTTTAAAGACAAGGTTACACCTAACTCAAATCATGATCTTTTCAATTACTTGCTTATATATGTGTAACTTGAACAATGAATAAGGATGACCAAAAAATTGATGCCGTTGAGTTGCAGTGTTGGAAGAGAGTACTGAATATTCTACAGACTGCCAAAAGACAAGGAAGGACATCTTGGAAAAGGTGCAGCCAAGAGTGCTCCTCAGAGGCAAGGACAGTGAAACGTCGCTCACATACTTTGGGCATGTTGTTAGGAGAAGCAGTCCCTGGAAAAACTGCATCATGCTTGGAAAGGTGGAGGGTCGTCAGTGAAAGAGAGGAAGACCCTTCATGAGATGGTCACTGTATCAACCCACCTCATCGAAGGTGTCCCTCTCTTTCTCCATCCCTCCACTCTTGAAGCATGATATCGCTCTCCAAGGACTGGTCCCTCCTTGCAACATGCCCAAAGTATGATGAAGCCTCAGAATTCTTGCCTCCAAGAAGCAGCCTGGCTTTACCCTCTCTCGGACGAAACTGTTTGTTCTCCTAGCAGTCCATCGTATATGCAACACACTTCTCCAGCACCACAGCTCAAAGGCATCAATTCTCTATTATAGGAATTTTATGCACATACTGGAGGCCAGTTTAAATAGTAATGAGACTGTTTTCCTCTAATTATATTTTATGAATGGCAAGCTTAGGTCAAACTTGCAACAGAAAATTAGCATTTCTTTATATTTTAAAAGGGAGAGGTTTCTTTGTAGCTTAGAAGAACAGTAGAAAGGACTCCTTATCAAGCTGGACACCTTATCTTAGAAGGACAATCTAGGGGAAGATCTCTTCAAGTTTAGATAGTTGTTGCAGTTCACCTCCCCATCCCTGTAGTACGGCAGCTTGGTGTTACTTCCTTCAGTAGATCATAAAAGGGCCTTCTGACCTCATATTAAAGATGAACTTTTAATAAGTAGGAAGGAAAACTTAAGTGTTTTATAATTCAAATGTTTGCTTGGAATCACAAATTTTATTTTCCCATTTTCATTTCCTTTTTACTTGATGGGCTCAACCTGTCTTTTAACCCTGAGAGGTGATTCAGACCAGGAAGGCGCCACAAGGCCCAGAAACAGGTGTTAAACAAGTGCCTTGGGTACTTCCAGGTGTTCCCTCTTCACAACTTTTAACTCTGCTAAGAGCTTTCAGGTGCCATGTGAATGTATGACCTTCTAGAGGGCAATCATCTTAAAAGGGCAAGTTTTGTGATGATCAAACATCCTGGAAGAAAACCTATGGCATATGTCCTACGATGACTCAAAAGCTAACCACATAGGTGCCTCTTTAGAAGTCAGCTATGTAAGCCTACTGATTTGCATAATCTGTTTTTTTAAATTATAATTTTTTGTGTGTGTACTGTCAAATCGGATCTGACTGGTACAGGAGGAGATTGCCCCTCCTTCTCCAGCAGAGCATCTGGTGGATTCAAACCGCCTAACTCTGGGATTGCAGTGCAGCTTCTTGCCACTAGGCCACCAGAGCTCCCTCATAATCTCTCATTTTCTCAAATAACCCTTTCAATTTCTGTTGTTCTGTGCCATCGGACTCATAGCCACCCTATCTACAACAGCTCTGAAACCTGCCCTGTCCTGAGCCAGTAGGTGTGACTCTGGCACACCTGCCCCCATTACCCCAGTTATTCTATCATTCCATCTTACCCTGGGTCTTCCTCTCCTCCGTTGTTCCTCCACTCTTTTGAGTATGATGTCCTTCTCCAAGGACCAGTCTCTCCTGGCCACGTGCCCAAAGTATGTGAGAGCTTCAATATCCTAGTCTCCCAGGAGAGACTTGGTTTCACCCTCTCCAAGACAGACCTCTTTGTTTTCTTCTTAGCGGTCCACATTACGTTCAAGACTTCTCCAGCATCATAACTCGAAGGCAACAATTCTTCTGTGCTGAACAACCATGAGCCTTCCCAACACCCAAAGCCTATTATCTCCTCAGAACCTTTTTTAATGAGGAAGACGTGGGAATCTTTTCTTCTCTCTTCTATATATGTGTCATTAAACTTCTACTTTTCCCACCCCAAACTGTCTCCACGCTTGGTTTTGTGGCAGGAGGAGCAGAACCACATTTCTCAGGCTACAAACTCATTCCTATGGAACCTGAATCCATTTGATGACCCTCCTGCGGGTTGTCCGAGATTGTAAATACCTGAGGAGTAAACTGCTCAACCTCCTATGGATATGACCTGCCAGAGCGGTGACAATTTTTCAGTCTGCAGTCCAACCCCACCCTTTATCTATAGAGACAGATTACCCAATAAGTAAGATAAAAAGTGAAACTCATGTGAAACTGCCCACCCCAGATTAGCTTGTAAACACAAACCCATGCTTATTGGGTCCTCTATCCGCGTCAAGGGCTGTAAATTTGAAAAGAGGCTTTGAATATGTAGGAAAGTGCTGTGGGTTTAAGAAGAGACAGGTGCCAGACATAAGCGAAGTAGAATCTTAGATGTGAATAAAATGTGCAATTGTTTACCAGTTAACCCTTGATTACCTTGCTTGTTAGCTAATTTGACAGTTTAACTACCACCAAAACCCCGCAACTATAAAACGGTATATTCTAACCAAAAACCCGCAACTATAAGACGGTATATTCTACACTTTGAAAAAGGATGTCACACATGCTTATTTAAGCTCCGAAAGTTTTATTTTACCGTAAAATTCAGTAATATGTAGGAGGGGTGATGGTAGTAATCACCGAGCGCCTGCTCTTTTAAGCTCTCAGTTCAGAGAACCACTAACAACATCGTTAATGCACTCTGTGTGCCAGGCACTCAAGATGCTGTCATCTGCAAGCTTTGCTCTCTGGTCACTCAGAAGTGCGGTATTACCATCTCTATTCCACCTTCGGGGTCTGCAAAACGAGCCTTCAGACAAGCCTCCACCCCGTCCCGCAGCCCGCCCTCACCCAGTTAACGTCACTGGGTCTGATGCCGGCTCGGCGGCGGCGGTTGTCAGCTGGACAAGCAGAGACCGACCACATCCGCGAGCACCGAGACCCCATCAACGCAATGAGGAGGCGGGGCCTGCGCGGCCGAGGTTCCGGGTGGGACGTACCAACACCGGACAGAGGGGCCCCCAGCCGCGAGCCGCTGCCGCACCTGACGCAAACTGGGATGCCCGAGCCAGCCCGTGGCTGGCTGGGCGGCACGGGGGCCTAAAAGCTTGCTCTCTTCTCAGCAACTCCAAGACACTGTTCCCTCGGTCCCTCCATCCAGTGGGAGGCTCCGGAAATGGGAAAAACAGTTACCTGGCCCACCGGGGGGAGGGGGAAGTGTCCAGTCGCTTGCGAACTCTACGCCCCACACAAACCCACCAGCTCTTTTGCCGCCGCCGGGCCTTACCAGCTCTTTGGGCGGCTTCTCCTGGGTTTTTCCAAACAACCCCATGGCGAACTGAGTTGGGTTTACCCCTTCCTGCTTTCCGTCCCCTCCGCCCAGGCCGCTCACGGGAAACGGCCGGGCGGGGCGGCGGGGGAGGGCGCCCGGAGCCGGGAGTGGCCGCGGGGACGAGAGTGCGCGCGTGCGCGGGACGCATGCGCACAGTCCTCAAGGCTGATTATACCGAGCGCGGCGCCACTGAGTTCGTGTAAGGGAGTACGCGTGCGCAACGGCTCCTGCTTCAGAAGGCGTCATCTTTACTGATTGTGTTGGATGTAGCGCACCTCCTTCTTAACTATTTCTGGAACAGTCTGCCTTTGTATTCCGTAGACTCGTCAAAATACAGCCAAGTCAGAAATGACCTCATCTTCAGCCCAAGCTTCTCATCTCTGCCGCTGTCTCCTCGTTACATCTTCATCTCTTAACCCTCTTCCCAAATTCCCACCGTTAGGTCGAGACTCCGGCATTCTTCAGTTCTTGTGCTCGTCGCCCATTTCCAGGCCGGGTGGCAATTCGTATTTGTGTGTGTATCAGACTGTGCCAGAACCTTAATCCGTTTAAAATGGATGCGTGACTGAAAAGGACTAGGTCGATTTTAGCTGGTGTGACCTAATGAGACCCAAAGATGGTTACTCTGATTCTTTAGCTGACGTCTTAAGCCCCACGCTTAGGTCTCTGAAGTTTAACAATCACTGAAAACATAACTTTTCACTTGCTCTCTCCAGGTCGTTAATTTCTGGAGTATTGTTCACCATGCACCCAGGACCAGCTGCTATCTCTTCACCCAAATCGTGGTAACCCCATGTATGTAACACACGCACACATACACAACTGTGCTCCTTGGGGTTTTCAATGACGGTCTTCTTAGAACATAGATCTCCAGGAATTTTCTCTAAGGAGTCTCTGTTACTGTTGTGCCTTGGAGTCTGACTCATGGAGACTCCATGGAACTCTGTCCAATTTTGTGCTATATAAATTGGTTCTCACTCCACCACACATTTTGGAGCAGTGGTAAGAAGCTGCACTATAATCCCAAAGGCAAACCACTTGAATCCACAAGCTGCTTGGAGTAAGAAGGACGGGCCATCTCCTCTTATAGGACTTACTGCTTCTAGTAAATCAGCTATGAGTTAGTTCAGACTCCGTGCCACATAACAACATTCAAACTTCCCATTTTAAAGTAACTAAGCCTTTGAAGGTTTGTACTAACATAGGTATGGAGAAAAAGATGTAAAAAGCATGCTATTGTTAGCTGAAAAGAGATACTGGCAGAAATATTTAACCCTAAAAGCCTTGAACACTATCAAAAGACCTAAAATTCATTGCCATGGAGTTAGTTTAAACCGAGTCATAGTTGACCCTCCTAACAGATAAAATCAAAACAATCCCACTGTATTCAAATAAATTCCAGCTCATATTGACCCTACAAGGGCAAAGTAAAACTGCCCGATGCAGTTTCCAAAACTAAACATTTTTAATTTGAACCACACGTGTTTCTATTAGGGACTAAATGCTTAGTCACTGTGCTACCAAGGACCTGATAGATGATACATGCTTTTTACAAAAACCCTTGATGATGTCTATAGATTCTGACTCAGCAGCTTTCCATGAAGTTTGTGAGGTTGTAATTTTTTTTTTATTGAACACGTTTCGTCGTGATTTAAGACTTACAACACAAATTCGTTTTTCATTCAATCATTCATTCACATTTTGTTCAGTAACATTAATTAAAAAAAAATACCCATAATGGAATCACACTTTTCCTTTAATTCTAATATTTCCATTAATTCTTCTATATCTGCCCCTCAGGGATATTGTGCTGATCACACTCTCACTGAGGTGACCTCTTTTCCTTCACTCACCCTTATATGTGTCTTTTATCTAATTACTCATTTTTAGTCTTTTCTCCCTCCTTCCCTTCCCTGATAACTAACCAAGAATGATTCTAGCTATCTGTAAACCTTTCCCTAGCATTTTATAAGAATGGTTTTCTATGATATTTGTCTTTTTGTGACTGACTTGTTTCACTTAGCTTAATATTCTCTAGGTGCATCCATGTTATGCAAGGAATTATTATGGGGTAAAGTTGGCACAGGCTAGAGTAGGTTTCAGGGCAAATGTACATAGGGTCGCTATGAGTTGCAAGCAACTCGACAGCACATATCAATAACAACGAATTCTACTGTGTAATAATTTCTTTATCCATTTGTCTGTTGATGGTTGAATTGGGTTTTTTCCATTTCTTTGCTATTGTAAATAATGCTGTAAGATTCTCACCACTGGGCTAATTGGCAGCATCAGTATGGATGGTAAAAAGATTGAGATAGTTAACAGTTTTAGTTTACTTGGTTCCACAGTCAACACTCCTGGTAACATCAGCCAGGAAATCAGGAGACGAATTGCACTGGGAAAGTCAGCTGTGAGGGACCTCTCAAGAGTATTGAAGAGCAGCAACATCAGGCTGGAGTCTAAGGTGTGCCTGATCCAGGCTATAGTCTTCATAATTGTGTGCTATGCGTCAGAGAGTTGGACAGTGAATAGGGATTATAGAAAGAGAATTGATGCCTTTGAGCTGTGGTGCTGGAGAAGAGTGTTGAATATACCATGGACTGCTAGGAGAACAAACAGGTTTGTCCTGGAGAGGGTGAAGCCAGAATGCTCCTTGGAGTCAAGGATTCTGAAGCTTCATCTGACATACTTTGGGCATGGTGCAAGGAGGGACTGGTCCTTGGAGAGGGACATCATGTTTGGGAGTGTGGAGGGACGGCGCAGGATAGGAAGACCCATGATGAGATGGATAGATTCTGTGAGTGGAGTGGTGGGAATGAGTGTGTTTGAGACAGCGAGGTTGGCACAGGATAGAATGGCATTTAGGGCTCTTGTACATAAGGGTCACTGAGTCACAAGCGACTCGATGGCACATAACAACAACAACAACAAATAATGCTGCGGTCAACATGGATGTGCATATATCTGTTTGTGTGGCAGCTCTTCATTCATTGTGATACATATCTAGTGGAAGTATTGCTGAATCAAGTGGTATTTCTATTCTCAACTTTATAAGGAAGCAACAAGGCTGTAATTTTTTTTTTCCCTGCTCCGGCTGAACTTTCTCCAAGACACATCAATCTGTTCCTTTGACTGTCTATGGGATCTTTAGCACTCACTCTTTCCCAACACCACAGTTCAAAGGCATCAATTGTACTTCTGTCATCGTTATTCATTGTCAAGCTCTCAGGTGCATAGAAAGTGACTGAAAAGACCGTAGTTTAAATTTGTCATTGTTGTTATGTGCCATTGAGTCACTTGTGACTCATAGTGACCCTATGCACAATAGCTCTGATCCCTGTCATATCTTAAGCCAATTTCACTTTCTCCAACCACTTGCCCCCATTATCTATCACCGTGTCAATCCATCTTACCCAGGGTCTTCTTCTCCTGTGCTGTCCCTTCACCCTTCTAAGCATGATGTCCCTCACCAAATACTGTTCCCTCCTGGCAACATACCCAACATATGTGAGACAGAGCTTCAAAATCCTTGCCTCCAGATAGCATCGTGGTTTCACCTTCTCCAAAACAGATCTGTTTGCTCTCTGGGCAGTCCATGGTATGTATTTTCAATACTCTTCTCCAGCACCACAACTCAGATAGGTAAATTCTTTGTCTGTCATCCTTATTCATTGTCCAGCTCTCTGATGCATAGCAAGTAATTGCAAAGACCATGGCCTAGATCAGGCACACCTTAGTCTCTAGGCGGATATTGTTGTTCTTCAGCACTCTGAAAAAGTCCCTGACAGCAGACTTTCTTAATCCAATTCATCTTTTGATTTCCCAGATGCTGGATCCAAGAGTGTTGATAGTGGACCCAAGCAACCTAAAATTGTTAACAATCTCAGTATTTCTCCATGTATCACAATGCTACTAATTAGCCTAGTGGTGAGAATCTTTGTTTTTGTAATGTTTTCCTGGACTTTCTGTAACAGATGCTTCAGATCCACCTCAGTTTTCAGTGAAAAAGGTTGTGTCAAGTTGCGTAGCACAAGTACTTGATGAGTCTTCCTCCAATCCTGATGCCACATTCCTCCTTGTAAAGGCCAGCCTCCCAAGTGATCTGTTCACATATAGATCAAAAAAGTATGGAGAGAGGACTGGACAATGACTAGGGATGACAGGAGAACTGATGCCTTTGAGCTGTGGTTTTGGAGAAGAATACTGAATATACTGTGGACTGCTAAGAAAATGAACAGGTTCATCCTTGAGAGGGTTAAACCAGGCTGCTTCTTGGAGGCAAGGATTTTGAAGCTTCATCTGACATATTTTGGACATGATGTAAGGAGGGACCAGTCCTTGGAGAGGGATATGATGTTTGGGAGGGTGGAGGAACAGCGCAGGAGAGGAAGACCCTTGATGAGATGGACTGATTCAGTGACTGGGATAATGGGGATAGGTGTGTCAGAGACAGTAAGATTGACACAGGATAGGGCAGGGCTTAGGGTGTTTGAACATAGGGTCAACTCAACAGCACATAATAACAACAAATAACTAAAAGATCAGTAGTTTAAATTCTCTACTGTGGAGAAGAGTACTGAATATCCCACAGACTAACCAAAGAGCAAACAAATCTGTATTGGAGAAAGTGCAGTCAGAGTGCTCCTTGGAGGCAAGGAGGCTGTAAATTTTAATGGGAGGGTACTTTCCATCTATCTCAGAGCAGATGATGAGTTTGGACCACTGTATACTATGACTTAATGGTTACCAGTGAAACTTTATTTTAATTATACCCAGGTATCAAATGAATTATTTCTAAAATGGTATTTTTTTTTTCTTAAGAGCATAGCTAATTTTAGAATCCAACTTCTGAAGTCATCCCAAATTAAACGTAATCATTTGAGACATGTTGGTTGACTATTGCCACTTATCATGTAGTATTTTTAAGATTTCTCTTTCATTATGCTTTCCTCACAGTAGGCCTATTGAAGAACCAAAAAGGTATCGATCTTCTGCCTGTTAGTGGAGAATCATGAAGAAGAGTCCTGTAGACATAGTACATGCTATTTTCCTCTTAACTCTTCAAATATAGATG